TATAGAGAGAGAGAGAGAGAGAGAGAAATCATGAGGGAGAGAGAATAAGGATGAGAAATAATTGGTTCCTAATATAAAGGGATACTCATTTAATCTTTAAAGTGTATATACTTGGTAAATTTGTATATAGAATGTAATTAAATTGAAATTTGAGCAGGAAAGGTAATAAAGTTTCAAATAGTGTATAGGAATATAAAAATCCCATAAATAAATACTACTTACATATTTCATAACTTGTATGCACTTTTTTATTTTTTTTATAATTTAACACTAAGAAGTACTTTACGCAAACATTGCCTATACACAAATTGCAAACAAATACACTTTTCAAATGATTTAGCTAAACACAAATTATTATTCTCCCTGACCACTTAATGACATGATTAATATCACATATAGTAAACATTATCTCCCTTTAAGTTTCGTGCCTCTTTAATAAAGAAAATAGGGAAAATATAATGCATACTAATTAAATTGCATATAGGATGAAAACCACAAGAAGCACGGCTAACATTAAGATGTAACCCTTCATAGTAGTTTCCCAAAGGAAACTTGGTTACATATTTTATTTCTTACACAAACTTGAAAAACACAACATTATTTAAAATGCTTGAATATAACACGAAGATCAAGCATTTATAAACAGTTAATTGCAGCCATATAATTGGACGAAGATCACTTTTACCCCGCGTTCGAAACTATTTTTCCGATATAATTTATATTCTGTTGTGCTTAGCGCGAAGTATAGTTCCAAAATAACCTTCACCAGTAGCAGTAAGCTTGTCACATTGAGATCTCCATCCCTGAAATGCAGATGGAACACAATTGTAGCAAAGCCAACCATCACTGCAATCGCTTTCGACATTGCAGTATTTCAAGCATGTTACTATATCACCTAATGGAAGTAATTTATCTTTCATCATTGCAACATCTTCGGGTAAGTCTCTTAAAGCCATCACTTGCATCTTAGGAGATCCAGAGAGATTAACTGCTCATTGTTTAAAACATAACAAAGATTAGGAATAATAATGTGATCTTTACACATGCATATGGCCGGCCGGATTTACTGTTTATTCTTTCTTGGAGCAACAGAAAAGTTGTGTCCATGTGATCTACAGATCACAGATTCGAGCTGTGAAAGTAGCCATTAATTCATGTATTAGGGTAGGCTGTCTACATCAGACCCGGTCCTTACACGGAACTTGCGTACGGGATGCCCTGCCTCTTTTGGTATACATAGATTTATACATTGGTTATATATACATTGCTATACACATTATATATGAATAATACATATATTATACATCAGCTGACTATTTTTAATTTATATGGTTAGATGGGCGGCTATATAAGTTAATTCTTCAATAATATACGCAAAAACTTACACATTGATTTACATATATGTATAATAATTATTATAAAAGGAGAGAATAGTGGTAAAGTTTTGAACCTGTAATTGCAACAAAGAGAGCAATCAAGAGAAAAGCTTGCTTAAAGGACGCCATCTTAACGATGCTTTGGCTAAAGATATAAGATAGAAAGAGTGTGAATATTGATGCTTTGTTTCCTTCTTGGAAGATCGTATTTATAGACGTATACTAGTAAGTAGATCGGTCTTGTTAGTAATTTAGTCAATTATTGGGCTTCCCCATTCTATTAAAAAATGTTCTGCGGGGCATAAGAAAATTAAATAAGGATATTGAAATTAAAATATTGTGGGACAATCTTTATTATTGAATTTACACATTACATATATATCGGCAGAGGCACAGCCAAAATTTGAAGTTTATAGGTTCAAGATTATATTTATTTTAAGTTAGTGAGTTCTAAATTAATAATTTGTACATATTCAAGAAATTTTTCAGGTAAATATAAGATTTAAACAAAAACTACTGGTTTCAGTCGAACCCGCATTGGACACTGTGGCTCCGCCCATATATATAGGTTCCACCTTTTGTTGCCATCCCAAAGTTTCATTATATACATCTGTATACGAGTAAAATCGAGCCCCTTGGACATCTCGATTTTCCGGTAAGACAAACAGAACTGGAACGTGATCGTAAGGGATCAGAATCTGGGCGAAGAGCCTCTCATATCGGGGATCGAGTAAAACGCCCACCCTCGGAAGCATCGAGGCCATGTATCGCGGGTCCGGTTCGAAACCCTGAGCTTCAGAGAGCATTACCAAACGGCCGAACACGAGTAATAAAGGGCCATGACATCCGTGCCCAACTGGATGTCATGGCGTAAATCTCGGCCCGTATCAGCAATGAATCGGTAATTAGCATGAAGAAAGATTTTTATCCTTTTTTAGAATTGCACTTAGGGTAAAACTCCCCTACTATATAAAAAGGAAACTAATTGTTCATTAGACACATTGTAACATGCATATCAAGGAAATATACTCTTATTCTCTCTTATTCAAAGTTCTTACTTTTGTTCTTAAGTTTTTCATTAGTGTGAGCTCGGGATCGAAGGCAAGTACTTCGTTAAGCCGTTACTGAATCCGGGATCACTCTTATTATTTGCTTTGACAATTTATTACGTCTTTCATCTGTTTAATCTAATGCCCTTCGTCACGACTCAAAACATAACCTGTCGTGATGGCGCCTAACGTGGTACTAGGCAAGCTGACATTTCGAAATGATTCCAACACTTTTAAATTAAAAGTAAAAACAACACAGGTTTAAATTCATCACTCAAAAACTGGATAGCAAGTCAAAATCAATATAGAAATTCTTAACATCGGGGTATTACTGAGTATATGAGTGTCTATAAATCACAAATCTAGGAGTACTGTCTATAATAATCTGAAACTAAATACATAAAGCAGAAAGATAGGGAAGGAGAGACAAGGTCTGTGAAACACCAGGCAACTACATAGAAATCCCCAAACGATCAACTGTGCAAAGGAATCAATACCCACTGTTCCAGAAACACCCGTATCTGCACACGAAGTGTAGGGTGTAGCGTGAGGACAACCAACTCAGTAAGTAATAAGACTAAATAAAGTACTGAAAGTAGTGACGAGTTTCACAGTTATAGTTCAATTACAATAATTTCAATATAGGAAGATATGCATGCTTTCAAGTTAGACAATTTAGGCCAAAACAGTTAATTCATGTCAAGTTCAAGTGAAATAGAATATAATATCTCTCAGAAATTACAAGACGGTTATATATGACAGCTGAAATGCAATAGTAATGAAGTCAAATGCATCCTCTCAGAGCAATAGTCACACAGTCCTTTCATTCACTCCAACCTCACAATCACTCATTCCTCACAGTCACTCAATACTCCCATTTGCTCAGCACTCGACACTCGGCATTCACTCTCAGTAGGTACCTATGCTCACTAAGGGTGTGTCCAGACTTTGGAGGAGATCCTTCTGCCCAAGCGCTATAACAAGACAATCATGGCATAAATCAGCGAAACATGCTGCGGCGTGCAGCTCGATCCCAAAAATATCCTCACAATCAAGCCCTCGGCCTCACTCATTCATCAACCTCTCCAGTCTCTCGGGCTCTCAGAAATCATGAAAATTATCCCAAACAGAAATGATATAATGTATAAACAAAGAACAATAAAGACTGAGATATGATATGCAAGTAAAACTAAGACTGAGTACAAAACAACAATTTAGCAAATAATTTAACATGTACATGACCTCTGAGGGTCCCTACAATACTAACACATGGCCTAAACATGATTTTTGACATGATTTGCAGCTCAATTTCTATATCACATGAAGAATTTACGGATAAAAACAAATTTTCATCTACACAATTCCATAAAATGGACCAAGTCGCAATTTCTACGGTGCACGCCCACACGCCCGTCACCTATAATGTGCATCACCTTAATACCAATCACAAGACATGTAGTACGGGGTTTCATACCCTCAGAACAAAATTTAGAACTGTTACTTACCTCAAGTAGTGCAAATCTCTACTCCAATACACCATTGTCTCGCGAAACGGCCTCTGAATGCCTCCAATCTAGTCACAAACAGTTTGATACAATCAACATGGGCTATAGGAATCAATTCCTTAAGGATATATTAAACTCTTAATCAAAAGTCAAAAAGTCAACACAAAAACCGCCCCTGGGCTCACGTCTCGAAAGCCGATAAAAGTCACAAAACCCGAAATTCTATTCAACCATGAGTCCAACCATACCAAATTTATCAAAATCCGATACCAAATCATCACACAAATCACCAAATCAAACTCTCCAAATCCCTAGCCTCAAACTCCCAATTTATACCTTAAAACTGCACAATCTAGGTGGGAAAATCAATGGGGAAATAAGATTATTGAATAAAAATGAGCACAAGTGACTTACCTCAAGAAACACCTAGAAAATATTCTCAAAAATCGCCCAATCCCGAGCTTGAAATGTTGCAAATGAAGCAAATTCGCGAACCCTTGAATTTAAATGTTTTGCCCTGGGGTCTCGCACCTGCGCTCCACTTGACCGCATCTGCGATCTCGCTTCTGCGGATAATCTTCCACTTCTGTAGAATCACTAAAGTCCCCTGGACTCGCACCTGCATTCCAGGTTCCGCACCTGCGGAAGAGCTTCTGCGGCCCATGATCCGCTTCTATGGAACCAACCTAGGCCTCTCCACTCTGCATCTGCGGAGCCTTGCTTGCACCTGCTGGCTCGTAGATGTAGTTACCCCTTAGTACCTACATCCTGCCCCAGGATAGCACAACTCTGCACCTGCGCAATCCCAGCCGCACCTGCAGCCAATCCTTCGCAGGTGTGATCACACCAGAAGAGTCCCAACTTAAGCAATGCACTAAGTCCCGTTTTCGATCCGTTAACCATCCGAAATCAACCCGAGGACCCCGAGACCTCAACCAAACATACTAACAAGTCCTAAAACATGATACAAACTTAGTCGAGCCCTCAAATCATCTCAAACAACATCAAAAAATCGCACCCCAATTCAAGCCTCTTAAAACTAAGAAATTCCAACTTCTACAAATGACACTGAAACCTATCAAATAATATCAGATTGACCCAAAAAATTTCATATAAGTCATAAATGATACCACAAACCTACTCCAATTCCTGGAACTCCTATCTGAGCCTGGTATCCACAAAGTCCACTCTTGGTCAAACTTTTAAATTTTCACATTTCGTCATTTCAAGCCTAATTCCATTATGGACCTCCAAATCACAATCTAGACACACTCCTACGTCTAAAACCACCCAACGGAGTTAACGGGACCATCAAAACTCCATTCTGGAGTCGTTTACATATAAATTAACACCCAATCATGTAATGACCCAACCAGTCGTTCTCATTAATTGCACTTTGCTCGGTAGTTTTTGGGCATGAGTATCTCTATATGATATATTATATCTTATGTGAATCGTTGGTTTTGGTATTCAGTTTATTCGGAATTGATTTGGAAGAATGATTCTGAGCTAGAAGTTTTTAATTTTAAATGCTTGACCAAGTTTGACTTTTTAGTATTTGACCTCGGAATAGAATTTTGATGGTTTTGTTAGCCTTGTTGGGTGATTTTGGACTTTGTGGCACGTCCAGATTATGATTTGGAGGTCCACAGTAGAATTTGGCTTGAAATGGCAAAAATTAAAATTTTGAAAAGTTTGACCAGGAGTGGACTTTTTGATATCGGGGTCGGATTATAATTCTGGATGTTGGAGCAGGTCCGTAATGTCAAATGTGACTTGTGTGCAAAATTTGAGGTCAATCGGATGTGATTTGATATGTTTCAGCATCGGTTATGGAAGTTTGAAGTTTCAAGTTCATAGGTTTCGAGTTGAGGTGTGATGCATCATTTTAATATTGTTATGTGTGTTTTGAGGCCTCAAGTAGGTCCATGTTATGATATGAGACTTGTTGATATGTTTGAAAGGGGCCCCGAGGGGCTCAGGTGAGTTTCAGATAGGTTTGGATTGTGTTGCGCTCGTTTTTGATGTTTCAACGTTGTTTATTCAAGAATAAATGGTACCACATTAAGCAAATAAGCTCTAATTACTGTTTTGATTAAAGAATTAGTTCTTTATCGTAATTACGAAGCCATAGCAAAAAGAATCATCGAATTTGGACATCGTATGAGGGAGTTATGCTCATTTTAGTATCAGAGAAGAGAGTTGGTGATGGTGTTTCGCATATGCGAAGTTGGGTCTGCATCTGCAGCCCCGTGGATGCGAAAAATGGTCTGCAAAAGTAGAAATAACAGCTGAAAATGCGCAGGTGCAGAGTTTTTATCGCAAAAGCGAAAATCCCTATGTATAAAAAAAATCAGACTGCGTTCTTTTGGTATTTTGAGCATATCTTGAGTTCTAGAGCTTCGATTGAGGTGATTTTCGTGGCGTTCTTCTCATATTTTCATGGGGATCAGTATCTAACTACAATTTTTGTATTTTAATTTTATCACAAAAGTTTATTTTTGAATTAGTCCATGGATGTCAGTATCTAACTACACACATAGTTTTGAACATTGATTCAGAGTCGAAATTGGATGAAATTAGTATGGTTGGACTCATAATTGAATGGGTTATTGGATTTT